ATCACAATCGTCTTTTCCAGATTACCTACCTGTCCTTTGTGTTACCACACCAACATCTGCTTCCAACCTTGTCAGGACCGCAGGGTGCAGGGGGCAGCCTACAACACCAACGCAGTTGCACAGGAAGCCCTGGAGGCTGTGTGCAAGGCAGGCCTTGCCCTTGAAGAGCTTGTCATGTTCTCTGCCACCTGCAGTCATTGTCACAGCTACCGCTGTGAACCACCATGGAGAGAGGGCACACAGGTGCCAGATTATGCCATGTCCTTAAAATTGTGGTCTCATCTGATTATCAGAATAATTCTGGGTGGGGGAGGCATTTTTACCCTAACTCTGTGGGTTAAGAAATGGAAGCTCAGAGAGGTTAAGTGACTTGCCCAATGTCCTGCAGCCAGGACGTGGCGATGCTGTTTGGCTCCAAAGCCTGTGTCTTAGGGCTTCCAGGTTATTTGAAGTCGTGATTTACACTTGTCTTCTATACTCTCAAAAGGATCTTAGACAACTGGTTAATGAAGAATAGGAGATTTTCTGAGTTAAAAAGTGAAAATAAGAAATAGCTGGTGTGAAAAACCGCAAGATGTTGCATGGGCTGCTTGTGAAGAGGATTTTCTAGGGACGCTGTCAACGCCTCTACGGAAGTGTGACCCACAGGACACACGCAGCACCCCGGGAGCTGCTCACAGGGCCACGGCCTCCTCCCAGGCAGGGCCCCCGGTGCATTCACTGCTGCACGGAGCGGGGGCCTGTTTGTACCGGCTCATGAGAGCTGGTTAGTAAATGTTCAGAATTTTGTGAGCTCGTTGATAAACACAACCATTAATAAAAATTAAAGTATATATACTTACAGTTAAATTATATCAGAAACGATAGTGATAAATACTTAAAACTCATCCTTTCCTAATTATTTTACTACATTTGATTATTATCTACGCTTTCGTGGTTATTTACCCCTACTGTATTGTATATTGGCAACACCCTGATTCGCTACTATCAAGTGATGTTTCCAACTCTGTTTGGTGATGTTACATTGTAGCTTGAAATTGGCCATGGTGGGAGTGTTCACACCCTCCGTGTGTGAATCAGGAAATCAGGAAATGCTATAAATCAAGATTTGTGATGTGTGAAATTAGTAGATGCTATAAATCAGGGCTTGATTTTTTTGTTTTGTTGATTGTCTACACGTAAGAAGGTGATGGAGAAAATATTAATAATGCAGATTAAACTTCAAAGTGTGTTGTGTCCGTAGCTGTTAGGTTATGAATCGCACAAAAAATTGAATAAATATTCTTCTAGTATATGAAAACTATTATCCAACGTAGCAAAGAAGTCACTCATGTCATTGATGAACACATGAGGTTCCAACACACATCTTTCTTATTTCGCTTTTGTTTATTCATAAATGTAAACAAAAATATTTACCAATATTCAGGTTGGAAACTCACTTGTTCATCAGTTCCTACCATGGCTGGGGATATAAGAGTTCAGCAACAATCAATGCAAACCTTCTGTGACAATCAATGGCTGCATGGAATCTACAATGAGCTTACGATAAAGAGAATATTTTATTATGTGTGAAGAACGTGCTACACATTCTTTAGATCAGTAAGCTTTATGCTATACACGCACACTTTCCTTTCTCAGAGCGCCAGTTAAACATTCACCAGCAAAGCACTGACCAGGCCCAGCACCCAGCAAAGTGCCTGGCACACGCCGTAGGCGTCGCTGACTGAACCCAACAATCGACAAATAGAGCCGAAGTCAAGAGGCCTTCAACTGACTCCCGGACTGGGGCAGGGTGAATACAAGATGAGCCTGGGGCATCCTGCAAGAGC